AATATTAAAAAAAATCAAATGTATTTAAGTATTTTTCTATTTATTTTTCAGCTACAGCTTTAGAAGTACGAGCAGATATCAACTTTAATAACCTTCTAAAAAATTTTGATCAGTCTTATCTCTTCAGCAACGACGAAGTAGTTAACGGTAGCCTGAAACCAGTACCATCTCGCCAGAAACAACTACTCACTGTACAAATTCCAGACAACGCTTGGATGGCTGTGCATGCAAATAACACCTCCCTGAAAGACCTGTACTTTGCCATTAGAGCTGTGGACGACAACTACAACAAAGCAGAAATATCAAACATCGGCTCTGCTCATTTCTGGAAACTGGCTATGCCACCTAAAGCGAAAAAACGCATAAGATGGTGGCCTATTGCTATCGTTGTTGGTGGTTTGATAGTTCTGATTTCTATTATTGCCATTTCTGTTTATTTATTTCGAAAAAAAAGTGCCAATCCCAAAACCAGCTGTGAATATAGAGCTGTTTAATATTGATTAAGAAATTATAACTTTGCATTATTTTGAAGACACGAAGACGTGTGATGTGGGCTTAGTGAAATACAAACGACTTGGTCATTTGACCGTTAGCAAGTGTTTAGTGATGATGATGGGTACATACCGAAGACACGAGTGCACGCGACTCAACGTAAATGCGTCTTAAAACGTTTTACAAAATGATCTCAAGTGAACTAGCAAAAATATATAAATTTTGCTAATAGTGTTTGCATACAGTTTGCTTCATTTCGTTAATTGAGTACTTTCATGCTGCCTTCTGCTCATTTCCAGGTCATTGTTCTCAGTGTAAAGTTGTTGTTTTTGTGTAACCCAGAGAGTGCATGTACTTTAATGTCCGGTTTAAAGAATATAAGGCATTAAAATAACATTACAATAATAACTTTAAAGTGTTAATAATCACAGTGCAGATCGCTAATTACGATATCCTGTGTCTAAGCTGTATTAACAGCCCCTCACTCACCAAAAAACTGTAGACATTTTTAAACTATTTCAATTGTCACAAAGTACAAGTTAAAAGATATTTGTAAACTTGACTTAAATCTTTCAGTAAACGTTTACTACTGTTTAACTAAAACACATAACTAGTGAATACACTTTGTGACCTAACATCTAACCTATAATGAAATTATAATATTACATTCAGTAATTATTAAATATTCATGATGTCAGAGTTAACGACGAAGCAAGAACTTGGATTTAGTTTTCTCTCTGAAAATTGGCTTTAATGCTCTGCGGGTTACTCGACTCGCAATCTGAGGGTCGCGAGTTCGAATCCCATTACCACTGAACATGCTCACTCTTTTAGCCATGAGAGCGTTACAATGTGACGGTCAATCTCACCATTTGTTGGCAAAGAGTAGCCCAAGAGTTGGCGGTGGGTTGTGTGGTGTTTAATAGCTATTTTCTCTCTACTTTACTAGGGACGACTAGCGCAGATGCCCCCCCCCCCAGTGGCACAGCGGTATGTCTGCGGTCTCACATCGCTAGAAACCGGGTTTCGATACCCGTGGTGGGCAGAGCACTGATAGCCCATTGTGTAGTTTTGTGCTTAACTTCAAAACAAATAAACAACCTAGCGCAGATAGCCTTCGAGCAGCTTTGCGTGATATTCAACAAATAAACAAATATACGTTGCAATTAACGTATAGCCGGCGATTGAAAGCTTGAAATTTTGCTATTTTGAATTTTATTTTAATTTCATATATTGGAATATAAAAAAAGTAAGTTTTCAGTTATCTCAATTAAACACCTGAGAATTATCGAGTACTTTTTTAAATCATTAGTATTCAAATAAAGAACGTTTTTTTAGAAAGTTAAATTAAGAAAAAATAACTGTTTATGTTAATACACGAATATAAAACAGTGACTAATTAACTAAAAGTACGTCCATTGAATTTCTATCTTGTATTAATGGGCATGGGCGTCCGCGGGGGG